TTTTTAGCTGTTAGCGGCGTTCGCATCGCCCCAAACAAAGGCCAATTCCACCGAGGGCCGCATTAATGAGACACTTCACCGCCATTTTGTCCACAAAGACCCGGCTGGTATTTTTTCCCTCTCTCTCGTTCTTTATTTATTTATTTCCTGTGTGTTTGGTTTCCATGGAGACGGAGCCTCCCGGGGTGAGCTGGCTGGCCTCTGCATCTCGGATTGTATTATGGTCTATATTTACTGTACTAACGCACTCAGCGGGGCCTTTGTGCCACTACCCACAAGGCTCGGCAGCGATCTCCATGGAGACGGTGTGAAAGGGGAAGAAGAAGAAGAAGAAGGATGGAGGGAAAAATGGCGGAGATAAAAATACGGAGCGACATTGAAGTAAAGCGGTCTGGAGAGGTTGGGCATCGATCGGCCGGTTTAAACTAGTGACTTCTGAGTGCAGCTATGAAACGCACACAAAAATATATAAATAAAATAAAAAATAAAAATAAAAAATGCCTTTACAATGGGCAGCAGTGGGAAGCAAGTTTCTATTGACCAATCTGCTGGATTTAGTGGGTTACCATAGTGTAAAATGTTCCACAATATGGCATTAATTAAACATATCGATCTCTATTAAATTTATTCCATTCCAATAGTGTAGAATGTTCCACAATATGGCATTAAACATATGTATCTCTATGTAAGTTAGTGGATTCCCAAATTTCAAAATTGGAAAAAATTTAAATCATTTTGTGGATTCTCATAGTGTTAAATGTTACACAGTATGGCATTAATTAAATATATCTATCTCCATTGAATTTTCTGGATTCTCATAGTGTAAAATGTTCCACAGTATGGCATTAAACACGTGTATCTGTGAGACACTCCTCAGATAAATGAGAACTGTATTTAAAAGAGTGGAAACCTTACAATTCAAACAAAGCCTAATGTAATTAATTTTTTTTATTCATCTTTGCAAATGTCACTTGCTTGATGGCCTCCTATGTTATTTTTTATTTTACTTTTATTTAATTTTATAATTGTTCCTCTTTTTTTTTTTTTGGTTGGTCTGAGGATTTATTCTGTTCTACAATACTAATAATTTGTGTATGTAAATATGTGATACATAAAAACAAAAAAAACAAAAAACATGTATCTGTATTTAATTTACTGGATTCCCAAATTTTGAAACAGAAAAAAAAAAATAATAATAAATAAATAAACAATTTAGTGGATTCCCAAAGTGTATAATGTTACACAATATGGCATTAATTAAACATGTCTATACTGAATTTACTGGATTCTCATAGTGTAAAATGTTCCACAGTATGGCATTAAACACATGTATCTGTATGTAATTCACTGAATTCCCAAATTTTGAAATTGAAAAAGAAAAAAATGAAATAATTTATTGGATTCCCATCGTGTTAAATGTTACACAATATGGCATTAATTAAACATATCTATGTCCATTTAATTTACCAAATTCCCTTAGTATAAAATGTTACACAATATGGCATTAAACATATGTATCTCCATTGAATTTGGTGGATTCCCATAGTGAAGAAGGTTCCACAATTGGCATTAAACACGTGTCTCTCTTTGTAATTTAGTGGATTCACAAATTTCTAAATTGGAAATAAAAAAAAAATAATTTAGTGGATTCCCAAGTGTTAAATGTTACACAGTATGCCATTAAACATATTGATCTCTATTTAATTTATTACAGTCCCATAGTGTAAAATGTTACACAGTATGGCTTTATTTAAACATATCTGTCTTGTGGACGCCCATAGTGTAGGAAATATATGTCAAAAGTCTAAAAACAATGAGATAAAGTTTTAAAAATAGCCCGTATCCAAGACATTTTACAAACACAACGGACTCAATATTCATTATGTGTGAACTAAGTAACTGAATAAATAAAAACAAACTACAGAAGTTTTGTCCAAAAGAAAACCCCAGTGCAAACGAGACAAAGATAATGTTGTCCCATGCTCCGAGTCGATCCCTGGTTTCCCACACACTGCTCTAATCATTTATCAATAGCCCACGCTAATCAATAACGAGCCGATGAGCAGCCGTCTCATTACTTTGTCATTTACACAAAATACTACAGAGAAATCCTTTAGTTTAGTCCAGTGTTTGTGTTTGTGAGGCTCAAACTGTGGTTCGGATTTCACTGCTGGTTTAATTTTTCATTATTCGTGGTGGATTTAAAAATAGACAGCTTTGCCCTGGTTCACTGATTGGTTTAGTCCTGGTTTAGTCCTGGTTTAGTCCTGGTTTAGTCCTGGTTTAGTCCTGGTTTAGTCCTGGTTTTAAAGGTGAATTGTATAAATTTTCTGGTGATGAGTCCGTCAAATCCTTTTCTCTGTGCACATGTTGTTGCTTTGTCCAGAATGTTTCACAGTATGGCATTAATAAACCTTTCTATCGTCATGGAGACCAAACCAGACCAAGTTACAGGTCAGATCTGTGCAGAGGCGACCCCGCTCACAGTCAGAATGTTTGTTTTTGTAGGTATTTTTGAGCTTTACAACCACCTGTAATTAAATAAATGTAAAGTAGAGCTGTTTAAAGTCATACCGTGGAACATTCCAGGCAGATTAATGACGTATCCATAGAAACAAGCAGGTGACAGACTCCCCAGCAAAAAAGTTACATAGTGCATCTTTAAAACTACCTCTAAACTACCTTAAAGTGCAGCTTAGTCCTGGTTTATACTCAGTTTTGTCATGGGTAAAACAAACCTGATTTAGTCCTGGTCTAGACTTGGTTTAGATCTGATTTAATCCTGGTTTAGTTCTGACTTTACTGATTAAGACCTGGCAACTTCTCTAGGTGAAAGGCTCTTGTGTCCATGGAGATATTATTGTCTAGAATGTTCCACGGTATGGCATTAACATCTGATCTGAGGTAATCCAATGTTTTCACCTTTTTTCACTGGTTTAGTCCTGGTTTAGATATGTTTTAGACCGAGTTTAGTCCTGTTATAGTCCTGATTTAGACCTAGTTTAGTCCTGTTATAGTCCTGATTTAGACCTAGTTTAGTCCTGTTATAGTCCTGATTTAGACCTAGTTTAGTCCTGTTATAGTCCTGATTTAGACCTAGTTTAGTCCTGTTATAGTCCTGATTTAGACCTAGTTTAGTCCTGTTATAGTCCTGATTTAGACCTAGTTTAGTCCTGTTATAGTCCTGATTTAGACCTAGTTTAGTCCTGTTATAGTCCTGATTTAGACCTAGTTTAGTCCTGTTTATAGTCCTGATTTAGACCTAGTTTAGTCCTAGTTTATACCTGTTATAGTCCTGATTTAGACCTAGTTTAGTCCTGTTATAGTCCTGATTTAGATCTAGTTTAGTCCTGTTATAGTCCTGATTTAGACCTAGTTTAGTCCTGTTATAGTCCTGATTTAGACCTAGTTTAGTCCTGTTATAGTCCTGATTTAGACCTAGTTTAGTCCTGTTATAGTCCTGATTTAGACCTAGTTTAGTCCTGTTATAGTCCTGATTTAGAACTAGTTTAGTCCTGTTATAGTCCTGATTTAGACCTAGTTTAGTCCTGTTATAGTCCTGATTTAGACCTAGTTTAGTCCTGTTATAGTCCTGATTTAGACCTAGTTTAGTCCTGTTATAGTCCTGATTTAGACCTAGTTTAGTCCTGTTATAGTCCTGATTTAGACCTAGTTTAGTCCTGTTATAGTCCTGATTTAGACCTAGTTTAGTCCTGTTATAGTCCTGATTTAGACCTAGTTTAGTCCTGTTATAGTCCTGATTTAGAACTAGTTTAGTCCTGTTATAGTCCTGATTTAGACCTAGTTTAGTCCTGTTATAGTCCTGATTTAGACCTAGTTTAGTCCTGTTATAGTCCTGATTTAGACCTAGTTTAGTCCTGTTATAGTCCTGATTTAGACCTAGTTTAGTCCTGTTATAGTCCTGATTTAGACCTAGTTTAGTCCTGTTATAGTCCTGATTTAGACCTAGTTTAGTCCTGTTTATAGTCCTGATTTAGACCTAGTTTAGTCCTGTTATAGTCCTGATTTAGACCTAGTTTAGTCCTGTTATAGTCCTGATTTAGACCTAGTTTAGTCCTGTTATAGTCCTGATTTAGACCTAGTTTAGTCCTGTTATAGTCCTGATTTTAGACCTAGTTTAGTCCTGTTATAGTCCTGATTTAGACCTAGTTTAGTCCTGTTATAGTCCTGATTTAGACCTAGTTTAGTCCTGTTATAGTCCTGGGTTAGAGCTAGTTAGTCCTTGGTTACCTAGTTTAGTCCTGTTATAGTCCTGATTTAGACCTAGTTTAGTCCTGTTATAGTCCTGGGTTAGCTCTAGTTAGTCCTTTGTTAGCCCTGGTTTAGCCCTGGTTTAGTCTTGGTCCAGACCTGGTTTAAAACAACCAAAACTACCTTGAAGTAACATTTAATCCTGGTTTATAGACAGTTTTGTCATGAGTAAGAAAAAAAAAAAAAGATTTAGTCCTGGTCTAGACTTGATTTACTGGTTAAGACCTGATTTAGTCCAAACATAGTTCAGGTTTAATCTCATTTTATTTTGGTTTGAATGAATTTGACCATAATGTAAGTTTTCTGGTAGCGGGCACAACACCTGCTTGTTTCCACTGATATATTATTATTTAGAATGTTCCACAGTATGGCATTAAACATATCTATATCCCTGGAGACAAGGAGGTGAGGTCTGTGGAGAGGCGAGGCATGTATTTCACAGTTTCTTTTCATTTTTTCTTTTAGCAAAACACCTAAAATAGAATAAATGCAAGACAGATAGTTGAATGTCAAACTGTGGAACATTTCAGGCAAAGCAAGAACATCTCCATGGCAACAAACATGCAGCAAACCCCTCACAACAAAAGCTACACAGTGCGTCTTTAACAGCAATAGTAGAAAGTTTGAACATGACATTTTTTTATTTTATTTTTTTAGACTTACTTATCTGACCCAGGCGAGCTGAGAGACGACGATTTTTTTTTTTTTATTTTTTTTTTTAGACTTACTTATCTGACCCAGGCGAGCTGAGAGACGACGCCGACTTGCGTTTTTGGAAGAAATCGTCCCTCGTGACGACCCGTACGCTGCCGCCCTCCTTCTGGGCCTTGTCTAGAGACGCCTGAGCCACCTCGTCTCTGCCCAGGTACCTGCCAAATAGTCCGAGAATCAGTCCGAGATAAAGAAAGAACCATATTACAAAACGTGGTGGGCCGATGTAGACAGCTGATTCCCTGCTTGGAGGAGATGGGTCTGTAAACTACATTAGGGTTTGGAGCAGATAAGAAAGTTGACGTTACTCAAGCATATCGGTTATCCAACTCCACCCGGATCTAATTTTGTTATTTTTTTGTAATGTAGTAATTTCATCGTACTTGTAAGTTACACCTTTTACCCAAGAATTCGGCAAAACTCACTGCAACTAAGTAGAAAAGGCTTAATTAAAGGTCATATATTACACAAAATGGACTCTTGTGAGCTTTAAAGGTTGTATAGAGGATTTTCCAAGGAACGAGAAATCCAGCGACTGTTTGTCCTTTTTCAAATGTTGCGCATGCGTGAAACCACCCCCCCCTCCCCTACAGCTCCTACGTAGAAACACCTCCTCCCGCCTCCTCCTTACGCCAGAAACAGGTTTGTTTACAGCCGGTGCTGCACATGACTTGTAAACAACTAACTACAGTGTTGGTTAGGCAAGACGGAGAAGTGAGGAGCAGGGGGAAGAGTGGATCAGGCAGCAGGGACAGGAGCAGGAAAGGGGTGCAGAGAAGGTTGCAAGATTCAGTGCGAATGAACTAGCTACAACACGCAGCAGCAAGCGGACTCTTTCTTTGCCTTGAAAATGACGTTTTCAGACATAGGATATCGCTTTCGTGTCCTGAAAAACATTTGTCTAGCTCTTGGAAATAAAGTACGTTTTCATAATAAGCAGAAGTTTCCTGTCCAGGAGTAATTTGTGGACCAGTGCGTCAGTCTTTAGACCCTGCGTCTGCTTCAGTCGCGCCATCGCTGGAATGAATCTTCAAGAATCACCTTAGTTTGGCTTCGCTGCTTTTCCCCTTGTCTTCTTCTTTCAGCGACCTCAAAAACGGGAACTTTCTTTTTTGTCGCCATTGCAACAAACTTTGTGCGAACTGCGAGGAAGATATAGGTCAAAAAAAGCCGCTAAGAACTGTTGCGTTGGTGGAGTAAACAGCGTCTGTGCGTCTTGCGTCTGTGGACTGCGTGACAGTCGTACGTAAACCACGTACCGGCGGCGCAGGCAAGTCAGTTACACTAGAAACGTAGGGAGTTTGATTGACAGCCTGTCAGCTCACAGATAACGAGGCAGTGTCGTTATCTATTGGCAAATGTTTAGCCCCACCACGTCCAGAGTTGATGAATTTTTATTCTCTTTTTTTTGGTCATCATAATTACAAGGCTACTGCATCTATAATCTATCATTGACAACTTGAAACAAAAAAAAATCCTCCATACAACCTTTGAGTTGTGTTATAATGTTGTTAAATGATCAAAAACAATCATTAAAGTTCAAAGTTCATCAAAGTTGTGTTTTGTTTCATTCACACATGTTCGAGTAATCCTGGTTTATTAGTCCACATCTCCAAAACTCAAAATGCTCTGTTCTTAAACTTAAATTTTACTGATTGTCAAGGGAAATTATTTGGACACAGAAGCTCACGTATTACAACATAATATAATGACAAGAGAAAAATTATAAATGGTAATAATAAATAATTTGCAAAAATAGCAAGAGACTGGTGTCAAATAAGGCATTATTTCTGCATGTAGGTCTGCAATATACAGTTAAAAAACGCAGACAGGTCCAACGATCTCATTAGAAACGTTGAAATTTTAAGATATGTTTTGTATAATTTCTGATCTTTTTGTACTTATTTTATTGACTATTTTGTTCCAATATTGCTGCTTCAATTGAATGTTGAAAAGAAAAATAAATGGGCTACATTTAAAGTCCACATAGGCGACTTATGGATCCTTTTATTGCAGGTACATTTACTGTTTTTCATTTCTGAACTTAAGTAAAACTAATTGTTCAGAGAGAAACGATCACTCAGTCGACAATAAAATATCCTCATTAATGTTCAATAATGGTCAAATTCACCTTTATTTTGTGATTTTGTTAATAATGTCTGTTGACTCGGGTCGTGAGAGTTTGTGACTTTTAAAATATGGGTCCCCAGAAAAAAATGTTTGGGAAAAATACAGGAGGTGATAAGGAAAACTGAAGGATGATATGATGATTGACAGGACATATGGTGATCTTGTTAATGGTGCGTTGTTGTACAGTTGCGTTCCACCTTGTGATGTCGTGCAGTGGTAGTTAACAGCTCCTTTTACCTTTGGTTAAATAGAGATGATCCAAATGATTCTAGCAGAGGTGGGACCAGGTCGTTGTTTTGTGAGTCTCAAGTAGGGCTGGGCGATATGGATCAAAAAATATATCTCGATATATTTTGCTATATCTCGATATACGATATATATCTCGATATATGTTCAAGAAAAAATAACCCCCTAAAACTGAAAACTGCAAAAACAAATCTGCCAAATTCCACAAGGTCCTTTTTTTTTAAATTGAAGTGTAAGAGGTCGACAGTTCATATAGGAACATTTAAGATTACAAAAAACCCTAATTACATAAATAATAATTTAACTGTAAAATAAAAGAAATAAAACATATTTCCTTCTTTTCATTCATAAATAAAACAACTGTATTAACTCTGTTATCCAGACCAGAACCAGAACCATGAGCTCATTTAGCAGAAGAAGCTCAGGATGTTCCTTATTTCAACAGATCCATGTTATTATCCAGCGTCAGGAGCTCTGAGGTTTAATCCCACAATCCACTGCAGATCAAACCCAACGATTCACTATTGTACAAGTGACACTGCAGCAGATTATTAATAAAAAATATTCTGCATAAATAAACTTTACAATATATAAAGCAGAACGACTCTAGAGCCACATCAGCCCGTTTGAGATAATAATGTGTTTAATGCAGTTTTGCGCACGTGTGTTTACATTTTACAGAAACGAAACTTAAGCACATGACTCATTTGCATAAACAGCACTTCTCATGCAGCTTCTTTCGGGCTAAAGGACGCGACTCGGTGGAATATGAGGATGTGCTGCTGGTGGTTTTGTCTGTAAATGGTGGAAAAGGTTCGTGGTGCTTGAAGCTTTTCACTGGCACCAACTTTCGGCGTTCAGAGGAGTGAAGGAGACACGAGCGAACAAAATCAGGGAGGCGAGGGCGACGAGAGAGAAGAAATCAAGAATTGAATATAAACATTATATCGATATATACGATATGTCAGAATTCATATCGAGTTTAAAAACTATCTCGATATATTTAAAATATCGAGATATCGCCCACCCCTAGTCTCAAGTAAGTCTCAAGTCTTTGACCTCAAGTCCAAGTCAAGTCCCAAGACAAATACAGGCAAGTCCAAGTCGAGTCTCGAGTCACTGACCCATAAGTCCAAGTCAAGTCCAAGTCGTCTGTTTTGAGCTTCAAGTCATTTCAAGTCTTTAAACCAAAGTAGATTTTTGCAATTTATATGACTTATAAACTAAATTGTACTTTAAAAATCATAGTATATTTATATATGAGTATTTATAGAATATATAAGAGTTTTTTCCTTTTTAAATGTCTTGACAAGATCTTAGAGTGAATCATTACGATCAGAATAGAAAGAATCCAGATTTAAAAGTGCTTCTCAAGTTTTCTCAAGTCACAGACCTCAAGTCCGAGTCAAGTCCCAAGTCTTAGTCCATTTTATCAAGTCAAGTCTCAAGTCCTAAAAATAGTGACTCAAGTTCTGACTCTGGATTCTAGTGAACCTGAAAACTACCGCTTCATGACAAAACACAACTCCAGGTTTGTTTTTGAGGAGGTAACAACATTATAACATGAATTAAAGCTCACAAGAGTCAATTTTTGTGTAATTTTGACCTTTTCTGACCACACAAAACCAAGTCATGATTAGAAAAAACATGAAAACCTGTCATTTTAAATCTTCTCTAGTTTTCATGACAAATATTTTGCTTGTCTTCGAGTACGAAACGCCCAAACATGCCCTTTTATTGCTTATTTTGAATTCGTCCGGTGCGCTTATATTCTGTTTGTGCCCCGTCTTCGGCTGAATCCTATTACTGTTTCCACGGCGACAATCTAATTTCCCCGCCGGGATCGTCAATCATCTGATCTAATCCATCGGGCCTCTTATGGCACAAGTGCAGGTCCCCCCCAAAAAAGCGGCGGTGCATCTGGATTAAAATGACCCCGGAGCCAAAAAGGAGGCGTAAAAAAATGTCCTTGATGAAAACTGAACGGTTCTTGGGAAAAATAACTCCGGAATGATAATTAAAAGACACTAAATATAAATTAAAACATCCAAACTATTTTATTTTGATCCATTTTCTTCAGTTAATTCAGAAGTTTACGAGGATTTTTTGAAACTAAAATTGTCAATGGTGAATTCTCTTGAGCCTGGAATATTCCACAGTATGGCATTACACTTGTTTATCGCCATGGAGACAGCAGGTGACACCAAAGAACCAAGTTACAGGTCAGGTTTGTGGAAAGGCAACGCCGCTCGCTATAAGAATGCAAGTTTTTCGAGTTATTTTTACGCGGGATGGACGCGTAAAATGCCGTACTGCGGAACTTTCCAGGCAAACCAACAGCGCCGCGTCAACCTGGAAAAGTTACACGGTCGGTCTTTAAACATAGCAGAGACTTGGAGCGGAAATCATAAAAAGTCTAGACTATTTCACGCACAACAGGTGAAGCTTTGATATGTATGCAGCAGACGCACAAAGGATTTCAAAGGGAACTACAAAAACCTGGTTTAGACCTGGTTTAGTCTTGTTTTAGTCCTGGTTTAATCTTGGTTCAGTAACTGGTTAAGTCCTGGTTTAGTCAGGGTTAAGTAATGGTTTAATTCTGGTTTAATCTCGGTTAAGTCCTGGTTAAATCTTGGTTTAGTCTTGGCTAAATCCTGGTAAAGACTTGGTTAAGACCTGATTAAGTTCTGGTTAACTAGAAAACCTGGTTTAGTCCTGGTTAACTAGAAAATGTGGCTTAGTCTGGGTTAAATCCTGGTTAAGTCTTGGCTAAGTCTTGGTT